CCTTTTCGAAGAAGCCTATGGACTCTACCGACGGGAAATTGAAGACCAGATCTAAAGGAGCGGGACTTGTGATTCCGCGCGGTGTTCTTCTTCCCCTTACCACGTCCAGACATACTGACCGACAGGACAAAATTCAAGCGAGATCGTATTTGAGGTTGTCTGTACAATCGAAAGATTAAAACAAGCATATTTATGACGGGGTCAACGTTTAGAGTTAGACTTCGGTGAGGGTCACTTCGAAGCACTTTAAAGATTAGGTGTTCGCTGTATGAATTGCTTAAAGATTAAGCCCACTGTTGCAAATAACGAGCAGCAACTAGGTTTTGGGATTACTGTCAGGATGTTTGAGAGAGTATTTAAGTGACTGGAGACGTGAGAGTAGGCATATAAGTCCTAAGCGTCCGTGAAACTCAGCTCAATGATAAGTAAACATCGTTTTTGAGAGTGTAGCATAATGGTGATTAGACCAGTTACGAAGACACATCTTGTGTCTAGGTTCTTCAGCACAATTGGGTTTAAAAAATGACTTATAACAAATAAATCCAAAAAATTAGCATTGGACGTATTTTTATTTTTTGCCTCTTATACTCTTAACTGGATTTTTTATCGATGTATAATTTGTTTTAACCTACCCTTGTAATGTTACATAATTGCAAATTATCAGGCTCGCTTCTTTGTTTTGTTTTCCTGGTGTCTGTAAGTGCTAGTGATCGTAGTTTTCCTGCCGAAGTTCGTTTTTGCTTAAACTTCAAGGTTTCGTGCTTTGAGATAGGGAATTATTCGGCCGTATAGTCCTTTAAGTCTCTTACTGCTCTCCAATAAGTTTATGCTTTTTGTAATTTCTCCTTCCTTTTTTGTAGTTTATGTTCCTTTATGTTGCTACGTTGTCCCACTGAGTATGCATTTTGTCTTTGATTCTGAAAGGCAATATGCTTCTTCAAGTAAGTTACTTTGTCACCGTCGTTTCCCATACAGACACGATATTTGTCAGCTGCACTTTCACAATTGGTTGTTTGTCCTTTCAAATGCAGTTCGTTCATAACTTGTCGTTTTTTTAGATGGAAAGAGATATTCGCATTCCGGAGACTCGTGTTCGAATAGATCTGCCAGGTACTTCGCTTTGCATTTGGTGCTTATGCTTTGATACTTTTAGAAGAAACTCACACAATGCAGCCATCGAAACGAGATTCTATTGAAGCAGATGTTCGAATTAGCATAGACAAATTCGGTTCCCTTAACAAATTGACAACCGGAATTCAATATTCCAGTCCCTACAGTACCTTCCCTGGTGCCCAATCTATTGCCAATTCAGCTCCAATTCTCTCCTGTCCACCTTCCAGAGTATTATCTTTAAGAGACAAATCTCGCAGTTCAAATTTTCTTCCATCGATGCCATCTATTAACGGAATATCATCGCATGTGCTCGAACCCGCCACCCATGCTGAAATTCATGACACCGACTACTTATCCAAGTCTGCTATAACTACCCTTGACAGTGGGAAGGAGGCTCGCATTGCTTTTAATGATACCGGCCATGATCGGACATCCAGCCCAGATGAGCTAACTTGCGACTCGGGATTAGATGATCCGTCTCTGGCTGAGGAGGACAGACTAAGACTCCACGCCGCCTGTCTTGAAGGTCGACTTTCTGTCTATGGACGTGAGGCGGAAACCTGGCTTCGAGAGCGTGCCGAACTCTCCACCGAAGCCGCCTCTCTGCGTAAGCGTCTTGAGGCTGCTAAATCAACTCTTACTGAGGTAAAAACACAGTCAGATCAGAGGGTGACCGAGGCCATGAATAAATCACGTGAGGCGCAGGAATCGTTGCGATATGTGCAAGAACAATTGAGTATCAAGTCCCGAGAAAATGAGCAGCTCTCTGCAAACCTCACTGCCGCACAACAGGACTCTATCTATCTTAAATCACAGCTCGCTGATGTCCAGCAAAACAGCGTGGCGAAAGATCAGGCCCTTGCTAGTTTGCGGGAAAAGATGTCCGAGCTTTATGCTGACATGGAGTGCATACGAATGGCTCATTCGCAGGCGCTTGATAATAAAACTGATTTAAATGCCGAGTTGGCTAGTTTGAGGCGTTCACAGGAGTGGTACAGGGAGCAACTACAGCTAACAGAGGCAGCACGCGATCGGCTGATGGAGCAGGTTAATTCGATGCGGAAGTGGTTGGATCAGAGTGGAACGTCGGCACAACAGTTAGCGCAAGAAAATGCTCGTCTAGAAACCAAGGTTATGTCAGGTGAAGCTGCTTTGGCGGAGGCGAAGCGAAACCTTTCTCATGAGTTGGAAGCCATTCGAGCTGATATCTTGGAGAGGGAGGCCATTTTTGAGAAGATTGTGGCTGAGCGCGCTGATCTAGAGACGTTGTGTCGACAGAAAAGCCATCAAATCACTGAATGTCAAAATCGCATATCTGCTTTGCAGTCTGATTTGACTGAAACGGAAATGGAGGTGTCGGAACTTCGTTCATCGCTGGACAATCTCAGACATGCATTGCAGTGTGTTGAGACAGAGAGGGACAATCTGCGCGCAACTGTCAGTGGTCTAGAGACTCAAATGAATCAGCAGAGGGCCTTAATGGACCAACAGCTGATGCAGTACAAGGATGTTTGTGCGAAACTAACTCGCCTTGAGGATAGTAGCTATGAGCAGGCGAGCAGTCTCAACAGAGCACTTGAAGAAAAGGCAACTCTAGAGAGCTCGTTGACTGCGATTTACAAAGAGAAAGCCACTCTTGATGCCTGTCTTAATCAACTGAAGGAAGATATGTCTCGCGTTGAGTCAAACTTTTCCACTCTTCAGTGTGAACTTGATTCGAAGAACTCCGAGCTCTCTAGTGTCCTTCTCATTCGTGATGAACTCTCAAATGATTTAGAAGTGCTACAGGCAACTATCAAAGAAAAGGGAGAAAAAATTAAGATGTTAGAGAATGAGCGTGAGCAGCTGCAGAATACATCTTTGTCGTTGCAATCAGAGAATGAGGGTTTAAAGGACGATATCAAACGTTTGGAAGCTTCCATTGCTCCAGCCTGCGAAGAGGCAGCCAGTAAGGCTCGTGAGCCCCTCATGACTACAATAGAACAAATGAATTCTCAGTCGGAGGCTCTTCAAACCGAGCTCAAAGGTCTTCGTGAGCAGGTCGCAAGCCTTTTAAATGATCAGGAGCGTTATTGCGTTCTATTGACCACTCATCAATCACTGCAGCATCAATACGATGCTCTGAATTCCACTTACACTGCTTCAATGGAAGAGGCTAATGCCAAGCAGTCGGAACTGTGTCAACGTCTTCAGCAAATCGAGGCTTCGTATTCTCAAGCGTTGCTGACAAAATCGTCTGAGATAGATTCACTCAGCAATCAATTAAGTGAAAAGGCCAACGATGCCCTCTCACTGCGGTCAAAAATCGCCTCATTAAAGGTAAGTCATCAAGAGTCGATGGCTCAACAAGCGGCTGACTGGGTTCAGCAGCTATCTAGTCTTGAGTCTCGTCTACACGCAGCAGAATCCCAAAAGGTTGCGATTGAGCAAAAATTACAGGAGGCTTTGGAACGCGAGAGGATCATTAATGCGAATCAGCAATCGGAGATGAAGTCTCTCCGCGCTGAGATGGCAAAAATGGAGTCTCGCCTCTCCAAGTCAGAGGCTCTGGAAGCGAAGCAGCTTCAATTGATGCACGAGTTGGAGGTGGCTAAGGGACGTGAATTGGGCCTTACAGACACCGTAGAAGACTTGAAACGTCACGCCGCCAGTCTTGAGACTACGTTGTCCCAACGCGAAGTGGAGATTGTGGAACTATCCGAGCGAATGGAGAGGTCGTCGATGGCACCAGCGGCGGTGGAGACAGAGGTTCCAATTCAGCCCGTATGTGTGCAGCCGGAATTGGCCACAGCTCCATTGCCGTGCTCCAACTGTCAGATGCTTTCGGCAGAAGCTTCCATGCACTTAGAAGCTATGAATCGGATGCAGACAGAGCTGGCGAAAGTGCAGACGGCGCTAGAGTTGACAAGGCAGGAGCTGGCTGCGCAGTCTGCGAAAACAGCTAATGAAGTTTTCGGCCGGCAGCAGGCCTGCGAAGCGCAGAGGCGGGCAGTGCAAGAGACGGAGCGGCTGAAACGTGAATTAGCGGAGGCTCAGCAGCAGCTATCAGAGACTAAACACATTGCTGCTATTGCACAAGCTAATGTTGCTACTCTGACGACGCATTTGAATTCTAACGACAGGTCGACTTCATCCGAGGTTCATGCACTGCGGGAGGCCATGCAAGTTAGTGCCTTTTATTCACATTTAATCATACATCCTTATTCCCGTCCGGCATTTGTTTTCGTTTAAGAGTACATATTTTTACTTCTGTGAGTCTC